AATTTTGATTTATAAATTGAAGCGATCCTCAGAAATACATCTCTTGTGTTGCTGTTACTAGCGGATTGTGCAGCAATTAATGCATATGAGTTATTATGGTAGTGGTTTCGGATGATTTTCTAAGCAAGCTGCTCATTTGATGGTAACTTGTAAACACCGATGGACATTTTTATCTTTTTGACAACTGCACCAGATGACACAATGATTGAAAGCGGTATAGGGTATATGATATATTATATGTATAGGGTATATTATGAAAACTTCTAGAAAGGAATAAATTATTTCTGTACTTTGTCGAGTCATTTCATAAGTGTTACGATGCATAATTATCGTAACTCCGTATTGCTGTTATTATTTTTCCAGCAATTAAAAACGAAACGGTTTCCATAATTTTGCGTTTAAAATCTGCTATTCTCTTGCAATCTATTATTATATTGTTATTGAAATTGCTTTCCTGTACATATTTATAAACCTTTGGTCATAATAATCTCAAATAAAACTTAATCAGTAAAAAACGTTATGGGATAAGCAGGCATATAGTGAATGGAAAATACCAGAGACATTCTTATTGCAATTCCCCGTTAGCTAATTAAATATCATGTCTAATTTACTAACGGTACTGTTTTCTGAATCATATGTTAAATTTAATCACTATTCTACAGGTTCGTTACAGTACATTTGATGCATTATTAATTTAAAATAGATTAATTAAGAAATAACAAAGTTGTTTTTACATTGAATAGAGTGTATTTGTAAATAGAAAAATCTTTCAATTATGCAATATTAGTACTTACTAGCTGCTGCCCGTGACTACGTCTGCGTAGAGGAGGCTGAAGGCGTAACATTCAGACAGAAAGACAGATTCACATAATATATGTATATAAATTATAGCCTATGTCTTATTCTGATGTATAAGCTATATTATTGTAAAGTTTCATTAAAATCCATTGAGTAAGTAGTATTTGCGTGAAAGAGTAACAAACATCAGTAACATTAGTAAGGATTGTTTGTTGCGAAGTATGTAACATAATTCCAGCATTATGATTAAGCATTCAGATCCAAAAAGATATTGTATATTTACTCATTGATTATTATGTATACCATTAAAGGTATAGATTGTAAAAATAATCCTCTTTTCTTGTAGGTCAAATAGAACAGCGTCATCTAGTAGGTAACTTGTGATAAGAAAATCCATTTGCGCCATAGTGGTAAATTTATGGCGACATACAACAACCTGTATGGCTGTATTTAAAGTCCCAAAGGATCTCTTTACTTACTGATCCCAGAATCGCGAATATTAGGATTCTCACGTTCTTTATTAACTTCCCTGTTATTTGGAAGATTACAAGTGTTTCCTTGTTTCTTCTTTGTTGGATATTCGTCTAGGGGAATATAATAGCTGTCGTATATGGGCTGTGGATTGTACGATGAAATGAATGAAGCAGAGATATGAAATCATTTCGAGATTTAGATTTGAATTCATAATCGTTTGCCATATAACGGTATATCAGTGTCTAATGTATTCGTGGAATGCGCTAGGCTTTTAGAGCCTACTTAGCTCATTACGTGAGACTTGACTTGAATTTGATAAATAGAAGTAGCCACTAGGACATTAAACAGTTGTAGGGCCACGCAACAATCTTCGCTGTTGCACGAATGGGCAGGTCCATCAGGGTAAGTACCACGGCCTCGCAGAATACCGGTGTAAAGTCAAAGTGTTTCACTTTTGCGTTTTGTCTGGTGAGTCAGGGCCCACTTTATCTTTTCCATGGGCGGCGTTTATCATTTAACATCAGGTGAACCGCCAGCTTGTTTGCTACCTTCTCACATAAAAAAACGTAATACTAGTAAGCAGGCGCCTACGATGAGATAATCTAGTTAGGTGTGTAATAGTATATTAAACTCAATATTTCGTATTGATTTAAATGGTTCAAACTTGGTTTAGTCGACTATTTCTGCAAATAATTTAGTCGACTATTTCTGCAAATAACGCTATATTATGTTTAAATTAATTGTAACTACGAACAAGCACCTTCAGAATCTCTTAAGCAGAATCTGCAGAATCACTTTAGTTTAATATGAATTTCTGCCATACGTCATGGTGGTTCACAATTTAAGTTATAGGTACTTGTGTAGAAAATTTTAACCAACCGATTTGCTGCGTCATTTATTATCCGCACAGCTAAGGAATGGAACAACCTACCGGAGTCCGTCTTTCGGTCCGATTTCAACGTAGGCGTCTTCATGCAAGAGTGAATGCGTATAAAGTAAAAAGGTATCACAGATATGTCTGATATGATTTTATTCATCACTTTTTCCAAGAAAATACAAAAGTAAAAAATATGTATAAAAATATCATTATACAGTTCCTAAAGCTAATAAAACATAGATTTTTTTTTATTAATTGTTCATAAAATTATTTCTAGAGCAGATTGAAAATAAATAACGCTCTCCTGTAAACCTCGGTTCTTGACATGTCTTTATGTATATACGTAGGGACCATCGATTTGATGAAACGAACAGTGCCTTCAGAGTCTTTGTAAATAAAAATAAGTTAAGAATTATAATAGACAAATACATAAATGATGAATGACATGTATTTGACATGCCTAAAAATGGCATTTCGATAATATCCGTGTCGAAATGACGTGTTACAGAAAAATGCACATGATTGATAGTTTAACTACTCTGACAGACACTTTGTGTTATAAATTCAGAAGTTCATACAGAACAACTTTCGCATTTAGCGACTGAAATGTTATCGTAATATTGAGCCGAAAATTTAATCCTCGAAGGATTAACTACTTTATTTTAAAAGAAGAAATATCGTTCTTAGTTATTGAGTGTGATTTTCTCATGAATTTACAGCTGTAGGCACTTTATGAACTTCATTAAATGTCAATCACATTTGATTTTCTAGATTTTCTAATAACTCTTTTATCATACGTACATATTAGTGCAAATCTTTGATCCAAGTTCTAATTAGAACTAAATATCAGAAAATTAACGAGTGAAAATAATTAAGTAAAGTTTAGATGTTAAGTATAATCATGTCCAAATAGTATTAGAATTATTAAAAATGAGAGTTGCTTAAAAATGACAACGGTAATTCCATATCAGATAGCCTTAGGAATTGTACTTCTTCTGATACATATTGCTCATAAAACATATTCAATACATTTTGGTGATTTTAACACATAGTTATAGTTACTAGCTCTTACTGGCCTATTTGATAGGCCAAACGGTACCTAACTACAACATCGTTGATTTAATGCGTTTCTTTTGACGTTTTCTACCTTCAGATGAATCACTTGCTCAACTGTCTGATTGAAATAAAAAAATCCGTATTATGGCTTGTAAGGAAAAAATGTACCTAGCAGGAGTCATTTTCATTGCAATGTTCACAAAATTGTGAACAAGCGGAATCAATACCAACGGCATTTCCAGCAAGTTAGTCCAGTCATATCATAGAAAAATGTTATTCATCAAATGAATATAAAATTGTAGACAGTACAATAGTAGGTATAAAATGTTTTATTAAACTACTACACAATACATGATACTACACAAATATATATTTTTCTACGCTAAAATCAGGATTTCCATCTCGTTTTTAGCTTAGAAATTTCCCTAAAATTGAATTCCAGCCCCCAATTAGTCCACATTATTGAACTTTTTAAATTAGGGCTGTACTGGTATATAAATTATTAAACAAAAAGTGTACTCTCGTGATGTAGTAAATAAAACAAAAAGATTCTAAGTTTATCAAACAATTACCTAATTTATGACAAAGACATGTGAAGTTAAAAATATTATTTTTCGTGGTGATGGCAAAAGCGTCGCACCTTGTCTTGGCACTGTAATTAGAGTGCAAAGTGTGGCAGAAAACAAATGGCTCAAGATGTCAAGGCCAGAGAAGGTAATGAAGTGTGGCAGGTTATGAGTTTGGACCATAATTATGACAAAAAAAAAAGATACCTTGCGTGAGACTGCTGTATCCATCTGGCGTCATTAATGGTGTTTCGCCGTTGTTAAACATTTTGATTTTGGAGTTCATGTAGACATTACAAACATTAATTATCACATAATACACTTATATAAAAGTCTAGAATTGGACGCATTTTCAACACGTAGTTATTTTTCCACACCACCGTTGTCTGTTCTTAGTATGTGTAGTCCTTGAGTTTGATTTAGTTTCAAATTTCAATACCTTATAAATATCAACATGTATTAGTCATAGTCAGAACATAGAACAGAGTTTAAGCTGTTTTTGGCATAAAGATACAAAATATTTATTGAAAATAAACACATAGCTCTTTTAAAAACAAAACAACTAGCGGTAATAGTGAATGAAAATCGTTACAATTTTTAAATTATGAAATGTAAAGGTCAAATCGAGGAAGGAGAGGAAGTTGAAACAATTAACGCATTGAATTTCTTACATTTCTAGAAAATGTTATAATTATAGAAGTATATTAACGTAGGCATTGTAATCCGTCAAGATATTTATTATATGTATAATAAAACGAATATATCCAGAAAAAACATGAAGTAAGGAATAAATTATGTATACATGCTCGACCTTCAAGATCACGAAGGGGGTTTCAAGGATTAAATAATTTCAAAGACCTTGTAACAAATCACATATAAACGGTTCTTTACTTTTGGAAAGAATGTTATTATTGATAAAGCAATAAGAAAATACAAATTCAAATACAAATATAAATACAAACTACACACGAGTTGAAAAGTCAAAATTAGAAAAGTAATTCACCAAACTGCGTATATGCAATGATATAAATATGAAATTGCGATCAGTATCGTCCACGATACACGAACAGTATTCTAACATACACTTCATAACAATTATATATATATATATATATTCAACAAAAAATACGCTAGATATATTGGTTTAACTTCACTACGACGGACCTAGCGCATTTTGAAATAAACTATACTATCGTTATTTAAACAAATTGTAGTTAAAGGGCAGTAAAATGGCGAGCCTTTTTTCGCTCGTCACCTCGGTATACGAACTGACGCACGTCGGAGCGGCTAAGGCTGTACAACGGTACTGCCACCACTGTCACCCCGATACACCCCGTACCACTACCGTGCCCATGGTTTCGCTAATGGCATTGATCACGAAGGTTCGCGGCGAAAGAGTCAATACCCAAAGCATGGCGGCGATCTACCCCGTGACGTAAACACTCGCACGCCATCCACCTAGCGAGTGTTTAGTTTATAAAAGAGACACGCAGCGGAGTTACTGTTCATGTTAAATGACTATGTTACTCTAAGCAAACTGTTATAAGCAAACAAGTGGCTTTCGTGTACTTTGAATTTTATATAAAACTAGCTGTGCCCGGGACTTCGTCTGCGAAGTTATTCCTTATAACATCAGCTATCTGCCAGCGAAAGTCCCGTGCAAATCGGTCCAGCTGTTTCCGAGATTAGCCGGAACAAACAGACAGACAGACGACGAAAATTGTAAAAAATGTCATTTTGGTTTATCCGTGTATACATCCATATGCATTTAGTAAAAAGCGGTTATTTTAATATTACAAACAGACACTCCAATTTTATTTATCTGTATAGATTATTAATTTTACTTATAAGAATAGATTCAGTTCACTTAAGGGTTATAACTTTCAGTTATAACTATAAGGCCCAGGCGATCTGCCACGAAATAAGTGCACCAATTAGAAAAAAGAACACGGAGCCGATTTCATAGACCTTTGTCCAGCATTGGGTCTTGTTTATGCGTTTTAGCTGTTAATTAAGGTACCTATCTTTTCAATTGTCAAAATATAACAATCGAAAAGATAGAAGGGTACCTAATACTTCCATTTTTAAATTACATTATAAGAAAAGGCCTTTCATTAAAGCTTATAAAGTTGCATTTAAACTCTCACTTTCCTTTCAAAAGTTTTGTTGGTATTCATTTGTGTTGGATACTTATCGCTTCTTATGACTTAATGGAGAAGGCTGCCTTAAGGTTCTTTGGGAAGTTGTCTCAGTGGTTTCAAGAAATAAGTTAACATTGGAAGAAATTTCTTGACGTTTTATTATTTATTCAAAGGAATACCAAATGTAGGGAAGTATGAATCTTTCTGGTGATAAAAGCTGTAATAAAATCTGTTTTAATGCAAGCTTTATTCCAGAGTTTGTATTTTTTTTTTTATTACAGTAATGTATTGAAAACTGAAGAGAACACAAGGAAACGCGGCTAGTAACTATAACTGTTTATTCACCAATGATAAAAAAACCGGTCAAGTCCGAATCGGACTCGCGTATGAATGGTTCCGTACCATTGTCTATAACAACGCCAAAAAATCATAGTTGTTGTATGGGAGCCCCACTTAAATATTTTATTATTCAGTTTTTTAGTATTTGTTATTATAGCGGCAACAGAAATACATCGTCTGTGAAATTTCAACTATCACGGTTCGTGAGATACAGACTGGTGACAGGCGGACAGATAGACAGACAGCGGAATCATAGTAATAGGGTGCCGTTTTACCCTTAGGGTTCGGAACCCTAAAATCTCTCTAGATTTACCCGCCACCCATAAAATATACCTTAAACTACTACGTTACATTATAATTACATTGATAACAAGGCGATGGTACAAGGTACGAAACATAATCCTCAAACCATGTATTTAAAAAGGCAATTCGAACCTTCAATTTCCAGTTCTTAAAAGTGCACAAAAAGGAGCAGACTGTTATGTGCAAAAGCCACATTATTTCACATTTCTTAGACGTCGACCGTTCCTACCTTTGTTGAGGACAGAAGCAGAGAAACTTTTAGTTTTTTATAAAATAAAAAGAGTCTAGCCGTCGAGGCCTCTTAAAATTATCGTTCACATTGTGCATTTTAAAAATATTATACATATGTATTCCGTTAATTTTTTAAAAGCACAAAAAAAATATAAATTTAAGAAAGAACGTCTTTCTTTTTTTCTAGACTAAATTAAATGCGGAAGGGTTCCCAAAATAATGAAAGTAATAAGCTATATAAATAAAAAAAAAGTTTAACAGGGTCAGTGTACTTTCGCATCTGGAGCGCTGTAACATTTAATTAACTTTTTTGTGCATACTAATGCTAACTTAAAAAAAAATAGAATTGGTCGATCGTTTATAAGTACTAAAAAAATGAGGAAGTCTAACTGTTAAATTGATTTCATAAAGCTTGATCCAACAAAAACATTTCTCGTGTCGCGTTTAGAGTTTAATTTGTTCTATAATGTACTTCTAATAGCAGTGATCACTCCGGGGCGCAGTTGTCAAGATTTCGATTAGATTATTGGCTTCGGTGTCGGAGGTTGTAGGTTTGATTCCCACACGGGAAAACTATATTTTGTGCGAAACACAGATAGTAGTTTCGGATTTGGGTGTTTTTCCACGTGAAATTGACGTTTGTAAGACGTTCTTACAACACAGGTTTTAATGTAATACTACTAATAAAATGTATCTAAAATATAATGTTATTCTGATAATAAAATATATGAAATACATAATATATATACAGGGATAGTATCGCCTAAAGGTCTACTTGGCATTCCAAAACTCTGGTCGTGTTTTCTCCGCCTTAAATGACTGGTCATCCCCTTCTTATCTAAGAAATTGGTTTGTGTATCTCTCTTTTACTATTAGTAGGGACCTTCAACACTCTTGTTCAACTTATTACAAACAATAAACTATGCATCGCATCACAGCGCACTTCACCGTGTTCTGTGTTAACTCCGTCACTATCAATGCTAGATACAGTGTGCGGGTGGTAAGTTTCGGAGACGAGGGTGAGTCCAGCCACGTGTGGTCAGCTTTGCGTTTCATCTCGGTGGGTTTCTTGTACACAGAGGACATCGCAGTGCGTTGTACGACATAATTCTGACAGCAGTTCTGACTTGTCCTCAGAGAATGTTAATCGGGATTACGCGCAGAGCCGGCTTGAGCGCTGAACTGTCATGTGGATGATTCGGATTTGTCATCGTGGTGAAAGGATTGGCCAATCAGCGTGGGAACTCGCTAACTGTTAACCAGGATGCGCCGGACGTACGGGCTCTATATGTGCATCACTCGTGGAAGCTCTTTTCGTGCACCCCGTATGTATTTACATTTTCTGCCTGTACAGAACTAATGCACGTTTATATTTAAGGCTTTCACTATAAGATCTGTACCACCATGACCACATCCCTGATGAAAACTTTCAATCACATCTAATAACTCGTCATTTGTCAGGTAATATTGTATGGTGCTCAAAAGACACAAAGTCATAGCGTTTGAGATACTGACGATACTGTCAAAGTCAAAGTCAAAGTATATTTATTCAATATAGGCTTAACTTAAGCTTTTATTGAACGTCAACAAAAATTTACCACCGGTACACTAAACTAAACCTGCACAGAGAAGAACCGGCAAGAAACTCTGCGGTCTTGTTCTTTTTGTTATTATTTTTTTTTTTGATGCAATTATACAAACTTATTTTACTGTAAAGACGTTTTCTTCATTGATACTTTAGCTGTAGCTACCTTACAGTTAATCTTTATTGAAAATAGTAATGTGCTCCTTAAACTTCACTTTTAAAGCTTCTTTATTATTATCCACGTTTTCAGTAACAACACTGTTTAATTCACTCATCTTTAATCTTACACACCCGAACTAATAACCCGACCCTGACTAAATAATTTATCGGAACACCGCAAGCGTTATATAAAACTGCTTAAACATGTTATAAGTGCAGTACAAGTCGATGTTTGACCGAGTGTACCAGTCGCTTCTAGGATCGACTAGGAAAAGCCTGAAACAGATTTCGACGTTTGATGGAAAAGTTAGGAAGTTCTAGCTTTGAATAAAAAGTCGTTTTCAAAAAACTTAAGTCAAAGGCCGAAATTGGAATTTATTACAGGGTTTGCCCGAAGGTTTTTATCTTATAAACTAATGACTAGTTCCGATGTTGGTTTTTATCTTATAAACTAATGAATAGTTTAGATTTCCGGGAAGAGAATGCATAATTATAAGCCTTTGACTATAACATATATACCTAATAAAATAATAGAGGTGTGTCGTTGTGTGCAATTCATGGAAAATCTACTGGATAATTTTTAATTAATTCTGCAATTTTTTTTTATTATTACATCCAGTAAAGTAAAGTAAAGTAACAGGCTATACATGTCCCACTGTTGGGCAAAGGCCTCCTCTTTACAGAGGGTATCAGGGCATAGTCCACCACGCGGCCCAACTGCGGATTGGCGGACTTCACATATCTTCGAAATATTATTTTTTTGTTATTATTTCGAAAATATGCAGGTTTCCTCACGATGTTTTCCTTCGCCGCGGAGCACGTGATAAGTCGGCACTTAAAGTTAAAAACTTCATTGGTGCCGGCACCGGGGTTTATATCCAGTATTTTTATTAAATTCTTGTCTATAGCATTAGATTCACTTAGGTTAAGGTAAAAGGTTTCATATATTAATTCAATAATAATAATAAAAAAATCAGTTTTATTTAACGACGATTGATATCTATTATAATAGATAATATACATGTTTTTTTTTTCACATAAATAATATCCCAATGAACTTTAAATATTTTATATGAATGAGTTGATACAATTAACTAAAGCTTTGAAATAAACATTACAACAAAAAATATTTTAAGACGTAGTTGATTCAATGGTGATCAAATAACTCTTACGATGCTTCTTAATTAGAGAGACCAGTTCAGCAAAATCGATCCCTTTCATCGTCGAGAATTACTTGAGATATGACGGATGAGATTAAATAATAATCGTTAAAAGCGAAATAGGGGAAAAATTTCTTTAATATTTACAATAATTATTATTTTCTTCATTTTCTTTATTATTTTTATGTTCTTTTTTATATGAGAAGGTGGTGGTTCACCTGATGTTAAGTGATAAGCGCCACCTATAGATGCAATAACTTTTTAAAGTAAATTAAGTGGGCCTCGGCTACCTCACTCACCAGACGAAACGCAGAAGTATAATGCTTCTACATCACGCTGGTCTTCTGTGAGGTCGTGGTACTTACCTGGACCTGCCCATTTGTGCTACAGCATAGAGTGGTGCGTGGTTGGCAATATTGTTGTTTGCTAGCTTGTTTTAAGCTCTTATTGATGGTCAAAAACTACCACCGTTAAATACATTAGACTTGTCCAGAGAAGAACCGGCAGCAAAGTCTGCG